GGAGCAGCAGCAGCAGCAGGAGCAGCAGCAGCAGGAGCAGCAGTAGCAGCAGCAGCAGCAGCAGCAGCAGCAGGAGTGTGTGTTACTGTAATCTCTGAGTCGAATGCCTAGGAAGAGGCCGAAGACCAATGGACCACTGGACTGCCGCACACCAAAGGCACCGCCCTCGGGGGTTTTGTCTATCGTGACCAGTGGACCACGGATCTAAGCAAGAGACAGAAGGAGACAGAAGGAGACAGATAAAAGGAGACAGATAGAAAAGGAGACAGATAGAAAAGGAGACAGATAGAAAAGGAGACAGAAAAAAGAGGAGATAGAAGGAGACAGAAAGAAAGACAATATAAATGTATATGTGCTTACATAAAGAGACATATAATAAACAGAAGGAGACAGACAGAAAGAGATAAGGAGACAGAAAAAAGGAGACAGAAAAAAGGAGACAAATAAAAGGAGACAGATATAAAGAGAGAAAGAGACAGAGACAGGACAAAAGAGAGAAGAAAGGAGACAGAAGAATGAAAAGAAAGGAGACAGTTGGTGAGAGAAAGGAGACAAAACAAAAAAAAAGAAAAAGAAAAGGAGACAGATAGGAGACAGAAGAAAAAGAAAGAGAGACAAAAGGCAAAACAAAAGGAGACAAAAGACAAACAAAAAGACAAAAGACAAAAAAAGGAGACAGAAGGAAAAAAAAAGGAGACAAAAGGCAAAAAGAAAGAAAAAAGAGACAAACGGAAAAAAAAGAAAAAGCAGGCAGAGAAAAAAAAGGAGACAGAAGACAAAAAAAAGGAAAAGGAGACAGAAGACAAAGAAAAAGGAGACAAAAGAAAAAAAAGAAAAAGGAGACAAAAGAAAAAAAAAAGAAAAAAGAAAAAGGAGACAAAAGAAAAAAAAAGGAGACAGAAGACAAAGAAAAAGGAGACAAAAGAAAAGAAAAAGGAGACAAAAGAAAAGAAAAAAAAAGAAAAAAAAAAAAAAAAAAAAAAAAAAAAAAAAAAAAAAAAAAAAAAAAAAAAAAAAAAAAAAAAAAAAAAGAAAAAAAAAAAAAAAGGAGACAGTTGCATATGCCCCACATCAAGCCCTGCGGTGTCTCCGACTAAATCAGTTCTCCCAATTGGCTTCGATCGAACAGAAAGCAAATAAGGAGAACTGTTCACCACATGGGCTGCACCAATGCCTGCAGCAGCAGCAGCAGCAGCAGCAGCAGCAGCAGCAGCAGCAGCAGCAGCAGCAGCAGCGGCGGGAGCAGCAGCAGCAGCAGCAGCAGCAGCAGCAGCAGCAGCAGCAGCAGCAGCAGTGGGAGCGGGAGGAGCGGTAAGAGCAGTAAAAAGGAATGAGAGACAGATGTAGCAGAAAGAGAAGCAGCAGCAGCAACAGCAGCAGCAACACAAGCAGCAACAGCAACAGCAGCAGCAACAGCAGCAGCAACAGCAGCAATTGGGGCAGTGAAGCAGGGAATTTTATATGGGCTTTACTCTGTCTTTCGATTAGAACGGCAGAACGCGTTAGGGTTTAGGGTTTAGGGTTTGGGGTTTAGGGTTTAGGGTTTAGGGTTTATTGTCTAGGATTTACGGTTTAGGGTTTAGGGTTTATCTTTGATTGTGTATATGTTAGCGTTTACTTTCTTGGGCTCAGGGTTTAGGGTTTAGGGTTTCGTGTTTCATGTTTAGGGTTTAGAGTTTAGTGTTAAGGGCTTAGCTTTTTGTGTTCCGGGTTTAGGGTTTAGGGTTTAGGGTTCAGGGTTTAGTATTTAGTGTTTAGGGTTTAGGGTTTAATATTTAATATTTCGTCTTTTTTGTTTCGTGTTTCGTGTTCCGTGTTTCGTGTTTAGGGTTTAGGGTTTAGGGTTTAGGGTTTAGGGTTTGTGTGCCTGGGGGTTGGGTGAAGGGGGTCCACCAGGCGTTGGTGGGTCTAGGGTTTAGGGTTTAGGGTTTAGGGTTTAGGGTTTGTGTGCCTGGGGGTTGGGTGAAGGGGGTGAACCAGGCGTTGGTGGGGAGGGGCCGCCGCGGCCGCCCCGCGGCATCCACAAACTCAGGCCCCCATAGAGAACCCTCAAACACAGAACCTGAACAAACCCTAAACCCTAAACCCTAAACCCTAAACCCTAAACCCTAGAGAGTAAACCCTAAACCCTAAACCCTAGACAATAAACCCTTTATGTGAGAGAAGAAACACGAGAAAGTAAAGTGTAAAAAATGCACACACTCAGGCACACACAAAGAACCC